CTGCAGGGTACTGTATGTACTGCAGGTACTACATGTACTGCAGGTACTACATGTACTGCAGGGTACTGTATGTACTGCAGGGTACTGCAGGGTACTGTATGTACTGCAGGGTACTGTATGTACTGCAGGTACTGCAGGGTACTGCAGGGTACTGTATGTACTGCAGGGTACTGTATGTACTGCAGGGTACTGTATGTACTACAGGTACTACATGTACTGCAGGGTACTGCATGTACTGCGGGTACTGCAGGTACTGCATGTACTGCAGGGTACTGCAGGTACTGCATGTACTGCAGGGTACTGCAGGTACTGCATGTACTGCAGGGTACTGTATGTACTGTAGGGTACTGCAGGTACTGCATGTACTGCAGGGTACTGTATGTACTGTAGGGTACTACATGTACTGCGGGTACTGTAGGGTACTGCATGTACTGCAGGGTACTGCATGTACTGCAGGGTACTGTATGTACTGTAGGGTACTACATGTACTGCGGGTACTGTAGGGTACTGCAGGTACTGCCTTTCCACAGCCTCCAGGCTTTATGCTCTTTAGATTACAATAACACTGTTTCTTGCTGGGACCCGTCATGCAACTCAGTATTGATTGTGACAGGCTTATTTCCATGGTAACGCTGATCAGAGTTCAACGTGGGTCGGCCCCGCGGGATCAGCTGCTGGATCTGTTACGGACACTCTGTCGCCCCCCTGTGGCTCAAATGAAAGCTGTTCTCTGATCTGGTCCTGGACTAAACCCAGCTGGTGCGTCGGGGGTTTTAATATCTAGAGCAGGGGTCTCAGATCATCCAGGGGCCACTTTGGTACAGTCACCTCATAGCAGGGCCACAGCAGCATTAAAGTACTCCAAGAAAGCGCAGTATTCTCAACATGTACTTATTTTATTGGCATTACCAACATATTTTCATGTGTTTGTCTGATAATTGTACTGAAGTCAAAAAGTACAATTTATACTTTACTCAAATATAGTGCATTCTCAGGTACGTGTAACTTCAGTAATAATAATAAGTAATAATAGTAACAGAACTGAAGAAGTCCTTTTGGATGAGGGACGAAACGTCTTCAACCAAGTCCAGCTGCCCTTGACTTTAACCTTCGTTGGATAACTGTGACCTGGATGACTGAGAACCTTCATAGACACCTTCAGTAATTCAGTAATACACACTGGGCCACAAATTAACTCACATCTTGCATCATACAAAAAAATGCAGACATTAGTTTTTTACTTGAATTTACGGCAGGACACTGACAAAACCGTGACCGTGTTTGCACTCTGTGTTCCTCTTTGTCCATCTTTCTTGAAACAGCCTGTGTTTATCTTCCACCTTCTGTTTGGATTTGGACAGCAGCATCTTTTTCTTCAGCCAACAGCGGGCATCTGAGGCCACCTTGCCTTCGCCGTGACAAACGAAATGCATTTAAAAATTGTGTTTTTATTTTAATTATTCAAATTGGTAGCTTGAATTGAAGCAGCTATAAAATAGAAATAAAATAATAATTTGGCCGGCCAGGTTTTGCTATTTCTCTTCCATCTCCGGAACCACATCCGGCCCGCGGTCGAGTTTGAGACCCCTGATTTAGAGTTAATGGGTCACGTCGTGGACCTGAACTACTGTCAGACTCGGCTGCAGATCGTTTCATGACTACAGGACTGACTCCTCCTCACGTGTTGATCCCGGGCGCCGGGGGGTCTTTTATTCTCAGAGTTCAGCTCCAGGTCAGACTAACAGAACGGGCTGAACCTGAACTCTGAATGTCTCTTAACCTATTTGACACCAGCAGCACTGACTCCTGTCCTCCTCCTTCTCCCTGTCAGGTGCGTTTCTGTGACTACGTGGAGGAGTTCTTTGCCAGCTGTGGCGAGGAGGAGGAGGACCGCCGGGGCCCCTGGGAGGAGCTGGCCCGAGACCGCCTCCGATTCCTGCGCCGCTGCCAGGAGGTGGAGCAGAGCATCGCCTACTGCCTGCAGCCGCAGCACCGCAGCCTGGTGTCCCGCCGCCTCAGCGCCGTCCTCTACCTCCAGGACGCCTGAGGGACGACGTGTCCTCCAGGTCCGGGACGCCTGAGGGACGACGTGTCCTCCGTGTGCTAGTTAATAGATAATCTGGTATTTTTAAACTCTGTTGGTGCTGAAATGACTTGTAGGTACAAACAGTTTTGAATCTGTGCAGCAGCTGCAACATATTCGTGAAATCATCGTTTCGGCCCGACAGGCTCAGACTGTTAGACCAGGTGTCTGACGACATCATGAGAGGCGAGTTGTTGCAGGAAGCCGCCGCCGGTGGAAACGAGGGAGAGGAGTTTGTTGTTGGAGTAACGTCAGGAGATAAAGTCTCACTAGCAGCTCCTCTACGAACACAACAAACGCCTCCCTCGCTTCCACCGGCGGCGGCTTCCTCGGGTCCCTCGTAGGGATCCCTCCCACGCTGTAGTCAGCCTGAGCCTGTCGGCGGCAACAGGAAGCTCTTTCTGTGGACGTTATTTTGACGAGCGAACACGTCGCAGCTGCTTCACACCTGTTTGCATCCGCGAGTCATTTCAGAGAACGGGTTTAAAAACCCGGTCCGGTGCACGTTGCGCTGAGGAGCTGACACGCTGCACCTGTTCCGCAGGTGAACAGAAACTTGACTCTGCAGAGACACGGAGCAGGTGGACGGACTGAGAGCTGAACTCCTGACTGGCGTGGGTCAGACAGAGTCCACGTGTCGGTGTCTCTGCAGCCTGATTCAGGGCCGCTTCCTGACTGACTCTCTAAGCGGAAGCTGGTGTTGCTGCTGATCTGAAGGGCTTAACGTGGCTTCACTGTGAGGCGGCGCCGCGAGCCTGCGGGACGGCGTCGAGACTGAAAGAGACAGACGTCTGAAAGAGTCTGCAGCCGTTTGCAGTTTCAGTATTCCCTCCCTCCTCGTGGTGACGGACTTTTCAGTTACAGAGAGACAAGCTGCTGCTTCAGCAGGAAGTGTCCGAGGTCATGTGACTGACGGGAGGGGGGGGGATGTGTTTGTGTTGCACCTGCTTCAGTTTGTTTCCTAATGTTTGTGCTGAACGACTCGATCAGGCGCTTCAGATGAACCAGTCCACACTAAAGACGTGTCTGAAGAGAGATTCTTTATTGGTTAATGTGCCAGGTTATAATTGAATCAGTTAAACATGTTCCTCTCAGGTCCAGCGTGACGTGTTATTAAACGCTCGCAGATGTTCAGTTTACAGCCGGAGAGAAACAGGAAGTTCTTCTCTGCTCACAGTCGGAGGAGAGAAGAAGAAACCCCGTTCACCGATTATCTAAACAACTCGACCAACCAATCGCATGTCATCATTCAGCTCCGCCTCACACTCAGCCGGCTGTTTATCATTAAATATCATTTATCATGTGAGAAGGAAGCGGCCGCTTCGTGCGACTCGTCCAGCAGGTGACAGGATGCTGGATTCCTATTGGCTGCTTCAGTTCTGTCTGTGAAGCCAAAGATGGCGGCTGTGTGAGGAGGAGCTGATCGTGTGATGCGCTGCAGTATTCTGTGTTAAGGTCCTGTTGTTGATCTGAACAGCTGACAGACAGGAAGCTTGTTTCTGCGTCTCCACCTGAGGATCTGAGCGCTCGCCACTTTAAAATAAATCTGTTCCTGCGGATAAAGTATTAGATACAGGAAGTCTTTATGATTATTATTATTATTATCCAACAACCTCTGAAACAGAAATCATCTCGACCAAAAAGTAGAAACCAGTTCACTTTGTTTACTCGGTGGACGGAAGCTTCGGTCTGTGAGTTCACGTCTGTTCTCGTCCTGTCGAGGGCGCAGTGACGGCGTTCAGCTGACAGGAAGTCAGAAACCGTGAGGGTCGACCTCCTGAGACTCAGTGAGAGGCAGAAACGCGTGTTCAGTGTTCAGTTAAACAGAGTCGTGTTTCTAAAACTGATAATTATTATAAATCATTAAAGAAGAAGAATCGTTTAGTTAAAGCGTCTGCAGGAGACGACAGACGACTGTTTGCTGTTATTTTAGTCCAGAATGATTTTTATTTTTCTAACTGGTGACTCGTTCTGCTTCATTTCCTCACAACTAAATATGACAAATATTAAATCAATATTTAATGATCACTGGGTCGTTTGTCTTTTCTTCCTATGGAAACCTGTTGTCATTGATCAAGGCCTTGAAGCATCTCTGGGTCCTTGAAAACTCTGGAAATGTCTGAAATTTAGTTTAGAAAGATGAACAGAAAAATACGGCGCCACCTACAGGTAAACGCTGCTGCTGCTGCAGGTCCAACACGGCGCCACCTACAGGTAAACGCTGCTGCTGCTGCAGGTCCAACACGGCGCCACCTACAGGTAAACGCTGCTGCTGCTGCAGGTCCAACACGGCGCCACCTACAGGTAAACGCGCTGCTGCTGCTGCAGGTCCAACACGGCGCCGCCTACAGGTAAACGCTGCTGCTGCTGCAGGTCCAACACGGCGCCACCTACAGGTAAACGCGCTGCTGCTGCTGCAGGTCCAACACGGCGCCACCTACAGGTAAACGCGCTGCTGCTGCAGGTCCAACACGGCGCCACCTACAGGTAAACGCGCTGCTGCTGCAGGTCCAACACGGCGCCGCCTACAGGTAAACGCGCTGCTGCTGCAGGTCCAACACGGCGCCGCCTACAGGTAAACGCTGCTGCTGCTGCAGGTCCAACACGGCGCCGCCTACAGGTAAACGCGCTGCTGCTGCAGGTCCAACACGGCGCCGCCTACAGGTAAACGCGCTGCTGCTGCAGGTAAACGCGCTGCTGCTGCAGGTCCAACACGGCGCCACCTACAGGTAAACGCTGCTGCTGCTGCAGGTAAACGCGCTGCTGCTGCAGGTCCAACACGGCGCCACCTACAGGTAAACGCGCTGCTGCTGCAGGTCCAACACGGCGCCACCTACAGGTAAACGCGCTGCTGCTGCAGGTAAACGCGCTGCTGCTGCAGGTCCAACACGGCGCCACCTACAGGTAAACGCTGCTGCTGCAGGTCCAACACGGCGCCACCTACAGGTAAACGCTGCTGCTGCTGCTGCAGGTCCAACACGGCGCCACCTACAGGTAAACGCTGCTGCTGCTGCAGGTCCAACACGGCGCCACCTACAGGTAAACACGCTGCTGCTGCAGGTCCAACACGGCGCCGCCTACAGGTAAACGCTGCTGCTGCTGCAGGTCCAACACGGCGCCACCTACAGGTAAACGCTGCTGCTGCTGCAGGTCCAACACGGCGCCGCCTACAGGTAAACGCTGCTGCTGCTGCAGGTCCAACACGGCGCCACCTACAGGTAAACGCTGCTGCTGCTGCAGGTCCAACCCGGCGCCACCTACAGGTAAACGCTGCTGCTGCTGCTGCTGCAGGCAATAGATGCGTTTGAGATGATGACTTGATAGTCTAACATGAGCTGCAGGTGACTGCAGGGGCGGGGAATAAAAACGGCGCCGTCAAGTCGGACACTTTCGATCTGCGTGAGCTTACTGTGAGCTGAGATCAACGACTGATCTCGCGGCATTTGCAAAGAGAAATGCCGTGAGACCAGGCAAAAGTGTGGTTCCAACTTTGTGCAGATGGAGAAAAGCTACCGTAGCCGCCGGACTTGGCGCCTGCAGCCGCCTTGCTACCCATGTCACATGACATGGTGCAAAACGTCACCATGTCACATGACATGTCTGTCTTTTGCCGGCGCTGCAAAACGTCACCATGTGACGCTGTTTTTATTCTCCGCCCCTGCAGTCGCTCAAGGTTGACGATAAATTCAGTGAAAGTCAGTCACAGTTATCTCGTACCCACCTAATAACATTCCCATCAGCCTCAGCTGGACACGCTTTACTGCTAATTAGCTAATGGTAGCATGCTAACAGGCTAAACTAAGATGGTGAACATTATTCCTCGCTGTGGCTGAAAAGTAATTTATGGAATGTGAGGCATCGCGGTTCCCGGGACCGGCAGGACTATTGGAAAGCTAAGGATTCTTATTCTTCCGTAGGTAAAGATCATATTGCGGCCCAGATGGTAAGTGCTACAGACGTGACACTCCTAGCGTAGGTCCAGGTCACCGCAATGACCTCAGGCGCAAAAATTTGTGCACTTCTACCTCTAGGGGGCGCTATTAGCAAGGTCAATGCATCTGGGCTTGGAACTCCCGCATACGAAGGCGCGTATCAAAAACCTTACATCCACGCGTTCAGGGGATCGAGCTCAATCTCGAAAAACTGTTCTTATTAGAAGCTAACAAATGTTTAAGCCAAACGCTAACAACAGGAAGTGATGTCGTATCTTAGGTTTGGAATGTCAGCACCAAACTTTGGGACCTTATCTGGCACAACTTCCTGAGGGGCTGTATGAAATCTGGTGCAACTAGCCCCTAGGTGGCGCTGTTTAATATCTGTTCATCTATGATGACGACTCACATTGACATGAAACGTGAGCCGAATTGTTAGTCCCTGACTCCAGGCACCAAAGCTGACCCTCGTGCCCATAGGTGGCGCTGTTACTGCAGATTAAAGATGTTTGAAAAACCCCCGTTATTCATTTTATATCTCCATAATCACAAGTCCAATTGATACTAAATTTAGGGCATTTGTTCCCCATGGGCCCCTGATGGCACCTGAAAATATTGGTCCAATTCAGCCTGAAGGTGGCGCTATAATGGATGCGTGGGAAAATCCAATTCATTTGAATGGCGTTTTGAGCCAAAGGACATTTTGCCTCATAACTGAGCGCCACTCCATCGCACATTCATAAACCTTATGTCTACGTGTTTGGGGGATAGTGACGAATCGTACGGTCTAGGACACGCCTTTGTGCGATGAGGTTTTGTTTTTGCTAAATTGCGAAGACTGAAAAACAGGCGCTCTGTTGTTTCTACATTTATGTGCTGCCGCAAGGAACTGTGGGACGCGACATTACCTCCTTTCCTTTGGTCCAGGATGGTCCTGTCTGTGCTAAAGGAGGTAAGAGAGGAAGTACCTGTCTTTAGCTTTTAGAGAAACCAGCTCTTATGATGGCTGCCACTGAAACACCTCCCTGAGCACCACAGCCCCGGTTTAGCACGTTAGCATTTGTCTCAAAGACTCTCAGACAGGATGTACATGAACAAACAGTTTCATCATTTAAAGTTATTACAGTGAACTCTGGTTTTTTAACATCTGACTGTCCGTGTTTAATCCTGTCAGTTTTCAATCCTTCATCCAGGCAGTCGGCATGAATCTACATTAAATCTACGGAGAGAGTGTTTGACAGGTGAAACGTCCTCTGGGAGACAGAAAAAAAGAAAAAGCAGACTTTTTTTAATGTCAAATTACTATTGAAGATTAAGACTGAACTTTGATCCCAGTTCTGTTTGTCCCGGTCATCAGACACTGACCTCTCTCTCTACAGCACTAATAATAACATGAGTCTGTGTTTGGAGAGCAGAAGAGATGAAGTGTCTGCAGCTTAACACGTGACCCCCTCAGACTCTCCTCCACAGTCCGGTCCAGGAGACGAGGTGTCGGGAGAGTCCGGCTCCACCAGGCCCTGCAGGTACTTGATGTACCTGATGGCGGCTCTCAGCGTCTCCACCTTGCTGAGCCGCTTGTCGGGGCTCTGACCCGGCAGGTGGTCCCTCAGTTTGGCGTAGCCCTGGTTCACGCACCTCACCCTCTGACGCTCCCGCTCGTTACGTTTCTGGATGAACGCCGGCTCGAAGGGACACTCGTAGACGCTGAAGTGTCCGTGGTGGTGGAAGGGGGCCAGGTAGGGCAGGAGCCCGGGACCGGGGCCCCTCAGAGTGTCCTTGTAGTGGTCCATGCTGGAGGGGTAGAGGAGGAAGGGGACGGAGCTGGACAGAGGGGGCTGAGAGACACTGCGGTCCTCGCGGTGAGACAGACTGAAGCTCAGGTAAGACGATGGAGGGAAAGGGGAGCTCATCATGTGACCAGTTCTGACTGAGACCTGCTGGAGACCACCACAGACCTCAGTCCAGGTTCATCCTCAGACGCTCCTGCTGACCTGCAGAGACACAGAGACACAACCTGAGACTGTAAGCTCATCTTAAAGCTGTTAAACTGTTTCGGTTGAAACGCTCAGAAATGATATCTCTAGTTTTAGACACGATAAATAACTCCATGGCGACCTGTCAGTCAGGATAGAGGCGTTCATTTTTCTGGTTGTTTTAAGCCTGGTTGTCGCTAGCCAAAATTAGCATCCCAGCTGATCTCACAGTTAACATGAATTACAGATGCAGCTTGCTAACCAAGCTGGCTAGCTTCACCCTCTCGTCCATATGGTCACATCTGTTCCAGAAAACAAGATGGCGACGGCCAAAATGCCAAACTGGAGGCCTCAGAATGACGGTCCACAAACCAACGGGGGGACGTCACGCGGCTACGCGCCCTTCTGTTACCCAGTCTGAGCGTGCCCCTGCGCTTCTGGCTGCAGATCAGTTATCAGACCTTTCGTACAACTTGCTCAGATTCATTAATCAGCTGTCAAAGAGTTTGAACTCGTTTAAACCGCGTAAATTCTTCTGTGAAACCTATGTGCTCCACAAAAACAGCAGTACACTAGATATAAACGTGTGTTATATAATCCACAGTATACTACATATATACCACAGAATACTACATATCTACCACAGAATACTACATATATACCACAGAATACTACTTATATACCACAGTATACTACATATATACCACAGAATACTACATATATACCACAGAATACTACTTATATACCACAGTATACTACATATATACCACAGAATACTACATATATACCACAGAATACTACTTATATACCACAGTATACTACATATATACCACAGAATACTACATATATACCACAGTATGTATATATAATCCACAGTATACTACATATATACCACAGAATACTACATATATACCATAGTATGTATATATAATCCACAGTATACTACATATATACCACAGAATACTACTTATATACCACAGAATACTACATATATACCACAGAATACTACATATATACCACAGAATACTACATATATACCATAGTATGTATATATAATCCACAGTATACTACATATATACCACAGAATACTACATATATACCATAGTATGTATATATAATCCACAGTATAATACATATACCACAGTATGTATATATAGTCCACAGTATACTACATATATACCACAGAATACTACATATATACCACAGAATACTACATATATACCACAGTATGTATATATAATCCACAGTATAATACATATATACCACAGTATGTATATATAGTCCACAGTATACTACATATATACCACAGAATACTACATATATACCACAGAATACTACATATTTACCACAGAATACTACATATATACCACAGTATACTACATATATACCACAGAATACTACATATATACCACAGAATACTACATATATACCACAGAATACTACATATTTACCACAGAATACTACATATATACCACAGTATGTATATATAATCCACAGTATAATACATATATACCACAGAATACTACATATATACCACAGTATGTATATATAGTCCACAGTATACTACATATATACCACAGAATACTACATATATACCACAGAATACTACATATTTACCACAGAATACTACATATTTACCACAGAATACTACTTATATACCACAGTATGTATATAATCCACAGTATACTACATATATACCACAGAATACTATTTATAATCCACAGTATGTATATATAATCCACAGTATACTACATATATACCACAGAATACTACATATATACCACAGAATACTACATATTTACCACAGAATACTACATATATACCACAGTATGTATATAAATCCACAGTATACTACATATATACCACAGAATACTACATATATACCACAGAATACTACATATTTACCACAGAATACTACATATATACCACAGTATGTATATATAATCCACAGTATAATACATATATACCACAGAATACTACATATATACCACAGTATGTATATATAGTCCACAGTATACTACATATATACCACAGAATACTACATATATACCACAGAATACTACATATTTACCACAGAATACTACATATTTACCACAGAATACTACTTATATACCACAGTATGTATATATAATCCACAGTGTACTACATATATACCACAGAATACTATTTATAATCCACAGTATGTATATATAATCCACAGTATAATACATATAAACCACAGTATGTATATATAATCCGCAGTATACTACATATATACCACAGAATACTACTTGTATACCACAGTATGTATATATAATCCACAGTATACTACATATATACACCACAGTATGTATATATAGTCCACAGTATACTACATATATACCACAGAATACTACTTGTATACACCAGAATACTACATATATACCACAGTATATATATATCCACAGTATACTACATATATACCACAGAATACTACTTATATACCACAGAATACTACATATATACCACAGTATTTATATATAATCCACAGTATACTACATATATACCACAGAATACTACTTATATACCACAGTATGTATATATAATCCACAGTATACTACATATAAACCACAGTATGTATATATATCCACAGTATACTACATATAAACCACAGAATACTACATATATACCACAGTATGTATATAATCCACAGTATACTATATATACCACAGAATACTACATATAAACCACAGAATACTACATATATACCACAGTATGTATATATAAATCACAGAATACTACATATACCACAGAATACTACATATATACCACAGTATGTATATATAATCCACAGTATAATACCTATATACCACAGAATACTACATATATACCACAGTATGTATATATAATCCACAGTATACTACATATATACCACAGTATGTATATATAGTCCACAGTATACTACATATATACCACAGAATACTACTTATATACCACAGAATACTACTTGTATACCACAGAATACTACATATACCACAGTATGTATATATAATCCACAGTATACTACATATATACCACAGAATACTACATATATACCACAGAATACTACATATTTACCACAGTATGTATATATAGTCCACAGTATACTACATATATACCACAGTATGTATATAATCCACAGTATACTACATATATACCACAGAATACTACATATATACCACAGAATACTACATATATACCACAGTATGTATATATAGTCCACAGTATACTACTTATATACCACAGAATACTACATATATACCACAGAATACTACATATATACCACAGAATACTACATATACCACAGAATACTACATATATACCACAGTATGTATATATAATCCACAGTATAATACATATATACCACAGTATGTATATATAGTCCACAGTATACTACATATATACCACAGAATACTACATATATACCACAGAATACTACATATTTACCACAGAATACTACATATATACCACAGTATACTACATATATACCACAGAATACTACATATATACCACAGAATACTACATATTTACCACAGAATACTACATATATACCACAGTATGTATATAATCCACAGTATAATACATATATACCACAGAATACTACATATATACCACAGTATGTATATATAGTCCACAGTATACTACATATATACCACAGAATACTACATATATACCACAGAATACTACATATTTACCACAGAATACTACATATTTACCACAGTATACTACATATATACCACAGAATACTACTTATATACCACAGTATGTATATAATCCACAGTGTACTACATATATACCACAGAATACTATTTATAATCCACAGTATGTATATATAATCCACAGTATAATACATATAAACCACAGTATGTATATATAATCCGCAGTATACTACATATATACCACAGAATACTACTTGTATACCACAGTATGTATATATAATCCACAGTATACTACATATACACCACAGTATGTATATATAGTCCACAGTATACTACATATATACCACAGAATACTACTTGTATACACCAGAATACTACATATATACCACAGTATATATATAATCCACAGTATACTACATATATACCACAGAATACTACTTATATACCACAGAATACTACATATATACCACAGTATTTATATATAATCCACAGTATACTACATATATACCACAGAATACTACTTATATACCACAGTATGTATATATAATCCACAGTATACTACATATAAACCACAGTATGTATATAATCCACAGTATACTACATATAAACCACAGAATACTACATATATACCACAGTATGTATATAATCCACAGTATACTATATATATACCACAGAATACTACATATAAACCACAGAATACTACATATATACCACAATATGTATATATAAATCACAGAATACTACATATACCACAGAATACTACATATATACCACAGTATGTATATAATCCACAGTATAATACCTATATACCACAGAATACTACATATATACCACAGTATGTATATATAATCCACAG